CGGAGCGCCGCCAGGGGCCGCTAGGGGAGCGGGGGCGGGGGTTGAGGCGGCGCGGCCGGGGAGGCCGGGGCCGCCCCCTCCTGTCTGTGCCAGTGCGCGCTCCGTGTCGGCAGTGCGAGGTCGAGCAGGATCCGCCGTGAGTCTTTGCGCGGCTCAGGAAGCACAAGAGCAGGGTTGCGCCATCCCCCGAGACTCCTCGCCCCCCCCGCCCCGGGGCGGACCCACCCAGCTGGTATGGCCTCGCCAGCGTTTCCTCGCATGTGTGTGTGTTTAGGAGCGCGTCTGTGTCTGTGCGTGTCTGTGTGTGAGAGGGAGTGAGTGTTCGTCTGAAGTAGACCTAGCTGTCGTAGATTGGAAGTGACGGTAGAGCTACAGCTGTAGTGTAGTCTTTCGGTTGACGTCTTCTCGTTCTGTGCCGTTCGCAGAGGGATGCCTTTCGGTAGTACCTGTTCCCGATTCTGTGCCCCCTGTGGAATGCCGTTGAGAGGAGTACGCGCCGTGCCAACAACCTGCTGATGGCTTGTGGTGTCCACATTGAGCCGCAGGTGTTCGGCCCGCATCACATCACGCACCTCCTCTTACCACGGGCGTGATGGCGACGGTTTTGATCCTTCGTTTGCGAACATATCGTTGACGGCTCGGGGGTGAATCACGAACGCCTTGCTGTTACAACTTCCAACAAGTGCGAGACACCCTCACCACACTTGGTGTAACAGCGTTACCCTATGGTGATGGAAATAAAATTCCCGCCAATCATTTAGCTAGGGTTTGTGTTTGTACTGTAGAGAGTCGCGTTAGAAGTAGCCGAGGAAGTGGTCGCGTCTCCTCCCTCGAGCCCCACCCTGCACGCTGTTACTTGAGCTCCACCGCGCACCTCTGAGCAACCGCACACCCGCAGCACGAAGTCTCAGGTCTAGCCCTTCGCGCAGGTGTTCTTTGTCGTCCTTGCTGATGTGATGTTCGTTAGCGCTCTGAACTCGGCGATACTTTGAGAATGGCGGTCTTCGGAAAGGTTGGAATCCCCTGGTCGTCGAGCGAAAAGTTGCGGCCGCTGCGCATCGTACGATGTTGCATTGATTAAGAAAACAACAACAACCAACTTGACCTACGATCTCCGATCTCCCAACAGGTTTCCTTGACTTTCTTCGGTCCCGATGACGGCGGCGCCGTGGTTCCCCGAGATCGATCCGGGTCCGAAACGTCGCGTAAACCTGTCGGCTGTCGGGACAGCTCTATCGCTCCTCACACAGAACGACGGGGAGAGCGGGAGGGAGGGGGAGGGGGTGAGCGCCAACCACGACGCCGACAACCGACAACGTCGCGCAGCCGAGAGAGATTTGAGGCGCAGCTCGCGTCATGGAGGATAACCGTCGGGTGGATCACTGCTGTGTTGGTCCCCCCCCCCTTCCCCCTGCCTCGCGCTGCATAATGCATGCAGTCAGCGCTGA